TTAGGGAAAATGGAGGAGTTTTTATAATTTTTTTTTTGTTTAGTTCGATTATAAGAAAGGAAGAATAAAGGAAAACAATCTTTGATCATTTAATATGTTTTAACTAAATTGTATATTAATTCGTAGTTTTAGTTCTATTTTAAAATAAAGATATTTAATTACTCTAATTTTAAAAAATATAAAATTTTGATCTTCTAATCATCTATTAATTAAATATGACATTTATATATAAAAAAATAGCTATCAAATATCTTAAATTTGTAGATAAAACTGGGAACTCAGGAATTATAAATAAAATAAAATTAAGAGGAAATTTTTAATTTATTTAAAAATAATTTAATTGATTAAAAGTTAAAACTAAATAATACATACTTCAAATCAAGAAGAAAAAAAATAATCTTAATAGTATTTGTATTAAAACAAACCAGGACATGAGCCCATGCTCTGCACGTGGAGAAAAGGCATAACTACTTGTTCAAATCCAAATTATTAATTTATTTTGAATAATAAATGCCCTTGTTATGAAAAAAATAATAAAAAGTAATGAAAAAAAATCGCTGAACAAGGAAAACAACACTAGAAATTGTGTATCAGTAAGAAAGATAAAATTTACATCCTAAAAATAATAATTTATTTTCCTTGAAATTTACAATCGTGTCCCGAAACCCAACTTTGTTACGACTTACGAGAGTGTCATGACTAATTTTTGTTTTGTTTTGTTCTTACATTCCATTTTATTAGCATTTAAGTGCTATTAATTAAAAAGCAAAAATAAATAAATATTTGAGATTGGACAGGTCTATAGAGTAATGGACACTCTAGCAACTAGGATTATCTTACTAGTTGGAGAAAAGATTAAAAAAATTAGGATAATTAGAATTATGATGATTAAGATTCCATCTTACCATCTTTATATTAAAATGAATAAAACGAGACTCCGGAACTGCCCGCTGTTTTGTTCTGGCGGCTAGTCTGTATCATACAATACCCTTTTCTAATTAATTAAAAACCTCAACTTTTTTTTTCCTTCGAGATAATAAAGGTAATAATTTGATGAAATAAAAATTTATAATAATTTTTATATGTAAATAAATATTTTTAAACATATAACTTATGTTTTAGAATTAAGTGTAAAAATATGTTTTGTATGTTGAAAAAAAGTTAAGAGACATACATAATAATTGAAATTTGTAATACGAATATTTTAAACAGAAATTAGACTGTTACTAAATTTATGTAGAAATTCTTTACGTTTTCATTGTGATTGTATATACTATTTTTTCTTTTGAATTTAAATTCTGTGTATATACGAATAAATTCCATTTATTTTTGCGTTAGGGAAATTTATTACTCATAAAATAGCGTATCATTTTAAAAGAAAAAAAATAGAATAATACAAACATTAATTTAAATATTTTATCATATTAATTCAAGATTTTAAACTTATTTACTTATATAATTTTTTTTGAACATAATTATTGAAGTTCAAATAAAATATATTATAAATATACTAAAAAAAATTTAAAATAAAATTTATATTATTTTTTAATTATTTATGATATATATTTTCACATAATTTTTATTATATTTATATTTTTTTTTTTGGATTCAAACGCCAATCTCATTCTATAATTTCATATAAATAAGTTTAATGTTTTAATTTATAAAAATTAATTCAAATTATGTCACAAAATTAAAAATAATCATTATTTTAAAATGATAAAATTGATTTAATTATAAAAGTTAAATAATGAAATTAAATATTTAATAAATTAAAAATTAAAAATAAATCAGAAAAAGATTAAAATTAAAATTTAGTCAAATAATTAGTTTTGTTTTTTTAGAGTAATAATATATGAACGATTATATGTAGAAAATTTATTGTATTATGTAAAAAAGAATATTTATTGTTTGTTCTGATATAAGAAACGAACAACAATTGGCTTATTTTATAATCATTTTCTTCAGTCACATTATTATATTATCTCTGGTAATTTACCAATTTCCACATCAATCTTGCTTATCCACGTACCATTTGGAACTTTTGAAGACATTCTGATATCGATTTATTTATTTTTGGTATATATTGATTTGTTCTTTATTTTATCTTCTGATATTATATTTCTTATTTTGCTGTCAAAACATTATTAGCGATCAATTTGAAACAGAGCAGAGAGAATCACAGAATAGAAGAACAGAAGATTCATTTTTTTTCTTTTTGAGATGGAAGCTGATGTTTCTATCATTTTTGCTGCGTTTTCAAAACCCTAAGTTTCAGAAATCCCAATTTCTCCTTTCCTCTTTCTGCTTTGGATGATTTTTAACCGAATATTTGTGCTTTTGTGCTTTCCGAATCTTTTGCTTTGATGGGTACCTCGAATCTTCTCTTGTTCTTCTCTTTGTTGAGTCTGTGTGCTATGGCGGCTTCCAAGGTGGTGCTGATTGGGAGTAATATCACTCTCTCCTTCGATGATATTGAAGCTAATTTTGGTGAGTTTTCTGGGCAGTTTCATTTTCCCCCTAGTTGGGAGTTAGTGTGCTTTGTGTATAAATTGTTTTGGTGAAGGGAAGACGTGGTTTTGGTCTTTGGATCATTCAAGTATTGAAAATTTCAATTTGGGTGATTGGTAGTGCTTTGTGGAGCCTTTTTAGTGGGAAACTAGTTGAACCTTTCGATCTAGGATTATAGGTATTGTCCATGAAGGCAAGCCTCTTTAAGATGGAGTTTGGTTCAATTGAAACTTTTTGTCATGTTAGAAAGTAAATAATCTCATCTTGAGAGAGAGAGAGAGAGGATGGGAAAACTGAAAAAAGGTTTTGAAATGATTTTTTTTTGGGGGGATATCAAACAGTAGATGCTGCTGATGTGTGGTATGCAAGTATTGACTAAGCTGGCATGTGCTTAAAGAATATACCTGCCATTGTAAAGTGAATTCTTGATTTTTTGTGTGACTGAATTTATGTTTCTTTTGCGGGAAAAAAAATAGTGAAGAAGAATTTAAGTTTGATGTTATGTTGTTGTGATGATGTCATTGTTTTGCCTGTGATGGTGTGTGGATGTTAATTTTATCAATCCCTTTTTGTTGACATAAATGTCTTTGGTTTCAGCCCCAACAATCAAAGGTTCTGGAGAATATGGGGTCTTGTATTTAGCAGAGCCGCTTGATGCGTGTACAGAACTGACAAATAAAGTTGAACAACTACCCAATACGAGTTCACCTTTTGCTTTGGTTGTTAGAGGGGGATGTAGCTTTGAGGAAAAAGTCAGAAGGGCACAAATGGCTGGCTTCAAAGCTGTAATTGTCTATGACAATGAAGATGGCGGTGTCTTGGTTGCAAGTAATTACCAATTCTTCTTACATGTTGCTCCATTTTGTTGTTTATCTTTCTCTCCCAACATGCAATTGCCATTCAACTTATTTTTTCTCCTATAACCCAAGATGATGTGAGTTGTAAATTGTAATGCCAATGTATACTCATTGCCTGAGGCAAAATAGTTTTGGATAGATTAGAGATTCATCATTTTAAGAGTGTAGTAGCTGTTGATTTTACATTAATTAGGATTTTTGTAACTCTAATTCTAAAAGAGATTATAATATTTTCTATAGAAGTTTCTGTAAAAGAATGACTATTAATAAAGATAACTTATCATTGGATAGATTTCTTGTTTTATTTTATATTTTGTATATGTTTGCACACATCTGCGTCATATTCTGAGAATTTCTAATTCACAATTCTTTTGAGTTACAGTGGCAGGAAATTCTGCTGGTATAAGAATACATGCTGTATTTGTATCAAAAGCTTCGGGTGAAATACTAAAGAAATATGCTGGGTTGACTAATGTGGAAATATGGCTCATTCCAACTTTTGAAAACTCAGCATGGTCTATCATGGCAATTTCATTTATTTCCCTGCTAGCTATGTCTGCGGTGCTGGCAACTTGTTTCTTTGTCCGCCGGCATCGCATAAGAAGAGAAAGGCCTCGAGCTTCTCTTGTTCGTGAATTTCATGGTATGAGTAGTCGTCTAGTGAAAGCAATGCCAAGTTTGATATTTACTGCTGTTTTGGAAGATAACTGTACATCAAGAACATGTGCTATATGCCTTGAAGACTATTGTGTCGGTGAGAAGCTCAGGATTCTGCCCTGCTGTCACAGTAAGTGTTCCCATGCCATTTTTCTTTCAAATTCAGTGTATTATTTTGTTGGTTTTTTTATCTTCAGTGTATGCTTATCGCCAATTTTTCCCTGCTGTTACATACTGGGGGGCATTGGTCAGCTGAGTGCAGTTGATTATTGGATCTAGTGTTGATCTGTTGTTAAGGTATATATGATAGCCATCACATGCTGTAAACTTCTGGTGTAATAGCAGTTACCATTACTTGGCAAATAAGGATGCGTTTGATCGTGAGGCAGGTTTTGGTTATTTTGGAAGCCAGCCTCTTAGGGTTTGTTGGTGATATACAGTAAATGTTAGTTGAGGTGAATAATAGGTTATGAAATAATTTGCTTTGCTTGGAGGCCTCAAACAGTATGTCTCTTTGCTTGAGAGTTGAGGGCTTACACTCATGCTACAGCTTCTCCCACCCTTCTGTTCCTCTACACACTATGGTTTAAGTAATTACTATTTATTTTTTTTGAACTGTGCTGTTTGCCTTTGCCATACCTTTCCTAACAATGTGAGATTTAAAATCTCAGACTTTTCCAATTTGACTATATTGCATCAGATGTCTTGTTACACTCAATCCTTGCTGTAACAGAAAGCACAACCCAATATTCATTGCAACATATGAAAACATATCACTTTTTTTGGTTGGATCTTCAGCATCCATCAATTGTTTTATCAAAAAGAAATCTTTTAATGGGATTTTTGAGAATGGAAAACCGGGAACAGTTTTATTTTCTAGGTTCTACCTCACTTGCATTTTGCAATTCATCTTCCTCTTACTTTTGATAGTTGAATCTACCCACTTCTTTGCTAATCCGTATAGGGGAATTCAGACTTGGGATTCTTCTTAAGTGTTTTCTTGGACACCCCCTTTACAGTTTTTAGATGAGAAGTTGTCACCTTGAAATACCCATTCGAAAATCTGAAATACCACTCAAACTTGTAATTAAGACTTTATGAAGACAATATTACATTTTTATTTTTTTTCCTAAAATTTGTTAGTTTAGCTGTTTGGAAATCTATTGGACATTTAGAGTGTGGAGTTGACAGGATTGGGGACATTTGTTGGTGGCCCAACATTAAGACTAGTTAGGCTTTGATACTATATTAGAAATTGATCAGGCCTAACTCATTCCCTAAACTTGGCTCAGTAGTTCTGAATCTGTTAGTAATTAAAGAGTTAGTTTGTTAATTTTTGAAGTCTATTATTGTGCTGGGCTGAGATAGGAAAAAGTTATGCAGATTGCCTATAAATAAGGAGTGGTGGAAAGAGAGGAGTATCTTGTATTTTGTGAGGGAATTCAGATTGTTGTGGGAGAGTCCAGGTCTCTATTGTTGTGAAAAAATCTCAAAGATTGATTCCCAGATTTGATGGAAGGGAGGCCTAGTGGTGGCTGATCAAGGTAGAGCAGTATAGGCCAATCAAGTTTATGAAGATATGCTACTATTGTGGGTCATATTGGCATTGGAAGGAGAACAAGTAGAAAGCAACCTGGTGGACTGTACAGGAGGCAGTTCTCAAGAAATTCCAGCTAGAAGTTTGAGTCTGTCTTCAAGATTCAGAAAGTGGGGAGAAAGAAAACTGACACAGATATGAAGTTCAAGAGGAGGGCCAAGAACCAATGGATTGGAGTGCAGAAGCAGATGATGAAAGGAGGCAAGAGAACATAACAGAAGATGAAGCTTTGGAGAGAACAGAACCTGCCACTGAAGGGCAAGAAACAAATTCAAGAAGGCTACAAAAATTGGCAGAAACCCAACAACTTTCTGGACAAGGAATTAGAAAACAGAAGCAAAACTGAAGTTGTTGAGACTTGAAATCAAGAATCATATTGGCAGAGATGACATGGGTCTATTTTTGGGTGCAAAGAGGAGGCAGAAATTTAAAGAAGCGCTATGTTTGACACAAGGGGAGAGCCAAGGACTGAACCAATGGCAACAATGTAGGTTTTGGGTTTGGGTAGTACCATCATCCTACCACAGAAGAACAGTAATGTGGATGATACTTGATTACGTGCAGTAGTTTAGTTTGCAACAATAGAGGTTTTGGGTTTAGGCAGTACCATCAACCTGCCACAGAAAAAAATAAGGTGGAGGATACATGCAGTAGTTCAGGTTGCAACAGAGCACTCCATCTTCATCTCGAAACCTTAAGTATGCCCACTGCAGAGTAGCTATACTACAGATCTGGCAGCCAATTTTTTGCAGTAGAACAATGGGACAGTTTCATTAGTCGTTTTATTTGGTCCCCATACCCCTCAAATGCCATTAAGTACTGCAAATTAAACAAATGACTTAATTTATGTAGAATCTTAGTCTGTGACTTACTAGTGGTATATGAAAATTGATTGCTGATGGATGAATGTATAAAATTATCATCACATGATCTGGCAAGGAAAACAATTTACAAATTTTCTAATTAACAACCCATATCTCAATGTCTAAAATAGTCAACCCAGTTGGTTGGAAGGTGCAGATGATTGTTGATAGACCTAGGATGCAAGATCAAGAACTGTCATCTAGGTTTTTGGAAAAATTGGAATTCCAAGAATTACCTGAACCCTCTGTGGCACTATGAATTGTAAAACTGCAAAATGAATGTTGTAATGCACCGGATGAAAGAGTTATAATTATTCATAAATCACACCCTAAAAAATGTATGCAAATTACACGAACTTCTATTCTTTGTATATTATGTTTCTAGACGATGTACTTGTGTTGGTTTGAGCCTTCTGAAGGCTGAGACCTGGCCTTTACAATTTTGTTTTCTTGTTTTCCATTGTCTGTTGCCTGGCAAAATTAATGTCTGCAGCCTTTATTGGTATTACTTATATATATTTGCATTACGTGCATATTAAATTATGACTATGTTATAGATTATATTAATTCCATTTTCCTGATGAGTTGTATGCAGAGTTTCATGCTGCCTGTGTGGATTCTTGGCTTACTTCATGGAGAACCTTTTGTCCAGTTTGCAAGCGTGATGCAAGAACTGGCTTAACTGATCCACCACCTTCAGAATCCACTCCCTTGCTCTCATCAAGCCCAGCATCTATGGCATCCTCTCTTGCATCTTCTGTGAGATCGTCACTGGCTTCATCTTCAGCAATACAAATTGTCCGGACAGCTTCACAGACCCCATCTGTTTCCCGAAACCACTCCATATCTAGTACACCTTATGTTCAGCCATCTCTCAGGTCCTCCTACCATCAATCCCCCTCCCTAAGCATCAGCCGAAGCTCTGTAGATCTTAGGAATGCATCCCAAAGATCGCTAGCTTCTCACTTGAATTCACCACGTTCCACGGGATATCCATCTTTGTCTTCTCTTAACTCGAGGTACATGTCTCCACATATTCCAAGTCCAAGCAATGCTTCAGTAAGTTATCTCGGTTCATCCAGTCATCAACAGCATCCTCTCCGATATAGTGAGTCAGCTGCAAGCTTCTCACCATTTGCATCAACACACTCCCTTCCGGAATGTTAAATTGTTCAAATTGATTATATCATATGATTGAGATGTCCATGCAGTTGAAGCAATGATTGCCCAGTCTTGAACTAAAATGTGGCCATGTGATGTGATGACTGGTAACGAGTCCTGTGCAATGCTTTGGCGTTCCCTATCTCTATCTCCTTTGGCACCTGGTGTACTTTGTAGCATCTCTGTGATGTTAGTTTCATTTTCATGTGCTGGTTGAGGTTCTTGCATTTTTAGGTTGGCGAGCTTGCGTACAGAATTTGCGTGTATTGTTTTTACTTTGAATATTGATGTTTTCATGGCCTTGATTTCAAAGTCAACTGCTAACAAAAGAATGTTGGGCTGTACAGACAGATTGAAGTTAGAAAAGTTGTTTATGTTCTGTCCAACTAAGTTATGAGATCATGTGATACTCTAGTGTTACCTGTACTCGAGCATCTAATTTGAACAGTGAGTATCAATAATACATGTAAAATTTTCAGAGGATGTAGCTTTGCTGCCAAATGGGGGTAACATATAGGACTCGTGGGATTTTCCCATTCTAATATTATGATATTTTCTTTTAGCACCAATAGGCGATCACGGGAAGATTCATTAGCCATATATTTTTAATACATTTGTGGCATACCCAGTTATAGTAAATTGAATTTTCTGGAGAGTGTGAAATTGAGTTATTCTACATATCTCGAATACATAAATTTCCAATTCTAAAATTGAGAAGCTAATGAGATGTTTTCTTTGAAATGGGAAAATGAGTTAAAGCGGTTCTTCACCCTTTCCTTCTCTTGATCCTTAAAAAACAGGACATTGCCAAGTGTTTTTCGTATAAAATTATCACATATTTTATGATGGTTTTATGGTTGTATATACTATTCTGTGTGGACTAAAATTATATGAAAATACAATAATGTATAAAACGTCGGTCCGTGGAACAGAAATAAGGAACCTATTTGGCATAATAATTCGTTAAAAGAAGAAAGAAGGTAGTTATAATTGTCGGTGTGATTATAGGACAAATTAAAGAATGAGTTTCACGGCTAAGGAGGGGACAACAATGTAAGAAGCGAAATGGCAGAGTCGTAGAAACTTCGGTTGAATGAGCACACAGTTGGGTCAGGAGAGATGAATGTAGGCCTACCACACAACACATTAACGTTACGGACACATCTTACAAGACTTGAACTCTATTAACCACCAATCTTTTGAAGACCTTATTGAATTAACCACTCGAACTGCTGAATTGATCAAGTAGCTTGTTTAAATAAATTGTAAAATTAGTTTGGAGAAAAATCTGTTAGAAAATTAAAAATTAGATTAAAAAAATCAGTAAAAAATCAATTAAAAAGGTAAAACACCAGTTCATAGTATGTTAATGAAAAATGTTTTTGGTTTTACACATATCATCTTTGAGCAGGGAATCGAACTTTGGTATACTAAGTTGTAGGAGACTAATTTCTTTTGTTAGAGTCAATCGTTAGTAGTTGATGAAAGTGTTTATACAATGTCAATTAGATTATTTTTCTTGAAAATCTAAAAAAAATAGGAAAAAATATTTATTTTCTTTTTGCATTGTAAATATAAACTTATTATTTTGTTAGCGAAAATAATTAATGATAAACTTATTATTATTGTCATCACCACAATTATTATTATTATTGTCATTATGTGACGATGTCAACATGACAATAATTGAAGTAATAATAATAATAATAATAAAAATAATGATTTGATGATAGTGACAGTAATAATGATAACGACTTTATTATCATGACTATTATGATAATAATAATAATAACAATGACGATAACAATAGTGACATCACTGCTATCACTGTTGTCATGTTCATTATTGTTATCGTTGCTATCACCATTAATAAAGAAATGATAAAATAATGAGATTTGAAAAAGAAAAAAACTTTTATAACTATAATTTATTCTATTGTATTTTTATTTTGTAGGAGAGCATTAAAAATATATATTTTTTATTTTTAATTTTGACTTTTGTTGGGAAAATGTTACTACTTCGTATCGAATATACTTTCTAAAAGTTAGATAAGCATGTTTTCAACACTATTTTCCATTTTCACTATTAATGAACATACTGCAAAACAGCCCCTAAGATTGACTATAGAAACATTCCTTGATAAATACGTTTGCATTTGTGCATGCCTAATGTCGTAGGACACAAGATGTTCCTTCATGGTTTACTAATGAAGAATGACAGCGCAATCCCAGTAAATGATGTTAATTATGCCATTAAATCACCAATATGCAGTATTTAATAGTTGATTTAGAGTCAATTTTCAGTAGTTAATTTCAGACAGATTGGGATTGATGGGAAGACTTCCAACACTAACGTGTGCGTCACACTTAGGTCATCACTATTCAAATATCGATTTATCACTAAATTTGAGATGGTTATGAGCGTGTGATTTTTCCAATAGCATACTCTCTCTTTCTGACTTTTTTTTTAATAATTATTTTACTTTACAATGAGTTGTAACTTGTTGCATATTAAATCATATATTTTTATTTTTTTTATCTTATTTTTAAATTTATTTTGATCTTTTATTTTTTAATATGTTCATTATGTTCCTTTAATTCTTAAATTTAAGTTGATTTAGTAATTTATTAAAACAATAATTATTTTTAATTTAAAAACAAAATTTTTATTAATTTTTTAATGATTCAAAATTTGAAATTTATCTCATTATATTCACTTATATTAAAACTATTGATTATAATTGAAGTTCAAAATAGAAAATGTCATAAACACATTATAAATCATAAAAAAGTAAGTCCAAGAAATTCAAAAAAAATTAGTTTCATAATACTTTCTAATTATTTGTGATTTATATTTTTCATGCAATTTTCATTGTATTTATAGCTTTTTTTTGAATTTGAACAGTTAACTAAATTTCTTTGTTTTTATATAGATAATTCTAGTGTTACAAGTTTCAAATATTGAATATGTAAAAAAATTGATTCAAAATTGTTTTACAAAATTAAAAATTATTATTATTTTAAAAGAACCAAATTGATCTAAATATAAAAAGATAAATGATCAAAATGAATATTTTAATAAATAAAGGATCATATTGAATCTAACAAACAAGATAAAATATCAAAAATATTATTTAACCTAGATTATAAAATATTCTAGTTCTTGCAGTAAAATAAATAAGTTTTATTTTAATTTTTATATATTTTTAAAATATAGATAGATTTTGGTTTTTTTTTTAAATATCTGTATTTAATTTTCATCTTTACAATATTTAAAATCATTAATATTAGTCCCCAATGATCAATTTTTGTCATCTTTAAATTTTTTAGAAATGTAGTACTACATCCACTAATGAGTATCATGTAAGATGATAAATTGACATTCTTATTAACACATAAATAACACATAATAAAGATAGAAGGAAATAATTTTCAATTTTATAATATTAAAATTAATAATTTTTTTAAAATCAAAATCAACTTATAAATTTTACATAATTGAAAACATATTTTAAACAAATTTATTATTATATTTCTCATTTTGACACACACACTCGAACCTACAATCATGTGCATTATACTTTAACTTTCTACTAATAGGCCATCACACACACACACTCGAACCTAAAATCATGTGCATTATACTTTAACTTTCTACTAATAGGCCATCAAAATTTTATTATTGATCACGATGTTTGTTGTTACAAACTTGGAATCTCATTATTACTTTTTATACAATTAATCTTATTAAATTATATAAATTCTACGCATTCATTCCTAAACTGAGAATGGATTGGCTCAATTAAATTTTTCATTTGAATTTTCTCAAATAAAAATTCATGACTATCTTTATTTATCAAAATTACTTTATTCATAAAAGAGTTTGAATTTAAAATCATGTATATATTACTCTAATTCTTCCTATTAAGTTGATCATGGTAGTTAAAATAAATCTTATGATTAATGTAGCATTGTACTTTATTGTTGTTAATTATTGTTATTTTCTTTTAATAATTATGTGTTGTGGTATTTTGGGATTTGTTGTTATTGAGAAACTTTGAGAACTAAGGAGTTCTTGTGACTTTAGGTGGTTAAGAAGGTTTCTTTAGGCAAATGTCTAGTTTAACCTCGAGGAGAAAGTATATAAGATTTATTTTGAGATTTAAGCTTCATAAACATATTTCTTAGAGAACCATAGACACATAGTAGTGAGAGGAACTTTAGAGTTCTAAAGTTGTTCTTCTTATTCTTTCCAACTTCCTAAAAGTTGTAGAAGTTCACTGTTGAGTATCGGAGTGGTGATTTGAAGCCCTAAGTCAAGGATTGAAATGGTGTGGAGTTTTTTGGTGTGTGCTCAGAGTTCCTTGCTCTCTTCCTCCTCTTCACCCCCTTTCAGAGTGATTTTTGAGGTAAGGAAAGCTAGGACTGGATCCTTGTTAGATTGTTTCAGATGCATGATTGATTGCTTTTCATTAAAATGTGATCATGTCGGATGAATTCAGATTAAATGTTAAGATTGTTAACTTTTGGTTCTTTGAGCATGTGAATATGGATTTTGATGATTTGAGTTAATTGATGGTTGCATGTTTTTAATTTAGTGAGAGATGAATTGTATGTGATGCATACTTGTCGATTGTGTTGTTGCATGTTGGATTTCATAATTTTCAAGTGAGGGGAAAGCCAATTCATGAATCTATTATGTGCATATTTCACCATCATTGTGGGCACCCCTTCATGACACTAGATGTGGCTCAAATCAGGGGTCATCTATCTCACTCGCATCGGATGCAAGATTGATGATGTTAAGTGTGAAGAGAGAGAAAAACCTCTAACTTGGTCATACTTGGTGTGGTTTGAATGGTACCAAATGTGAGGTGAGAGAATTGTCTTTGACTTGGTGACGTTAGATCTCGAGTTGTGAGGTGGTCATTTTGACCAATATAGAAGCTTTCTGTATAAGTGACATTGGATGCCAATGAAGTGACATCGAATGTGAGGAGAGATAATTGTCTTGCCTGAAATGAGGTTGGACGTGTGTTTAACCACGTCAAACGTGATTGTCCTAGGGAATCTTTGATCTCATCCACATTGGGTGTCGATTAAATGGTGTCAGACATGGGCAAATTCGAGAGCTCCTTGTCTCAATGACACTGAGTGCAAGGTGTATGGCACCATGTGTGGATTTCCTTATGAAAATTTGTTGTTTGTTTCATAAAATAGTGAACATGAATAGGTTAGATGAATCTATTGTATGTTATATGTTGATTAATTTTGATAGTTTTATATTCATTAATCTGGGATAATGTATATAAATGAATAATTGTTGAACTGTTGAGGCATTGATGTTGAAAATGCTTTAGACATTTAAACATATTATATTGATTAATTGTTGAATGGTAAGGTGATGTTGTTGAGTGCTCAAGGCATTTGGGCATCGTGGTGTGTAGTGTTGATTGACTTAGGACTAGAGGAGAGTGTTTTTGA